AGGGAGAAGGAGAATTTAAAAAAGGAGTAAAATTAAAGGGGTTCGGGACTGCCCACTCCCCATTCTTTTCTCATTACACCACAAAAAAGAAACAGACGGAAGAAGAAAGCGAAGAGGAGCTTCGGTAGGAAAAAAAGGAAATTATGATTCTTGGGTTTTGAAGGTCCCAAAACCACGTAAGTAGCATATAGCAAATGAGTCAAGCTTCTTGTTAACGGCTCGGCTTTCGACTGTGGAAAAACTAGTTCGAAAATCGACTCCTTTATTAATGAGCCGAGAGCTAAACTTTGAACAGCTCGTGAAGCTAGCTCGATTGGGTGGCTTGTTGAGCTCAAATCATGAGCTAGCTCGTTTAGAGCTCATTAGATGTCTCAATATCGTAGCTAGAGAGCCAACTTGATCACCGACTTATGAGCGAATCGATCTATATATTAAGAGTTGGATTTTGATCATTCATAGGATTGTTAAATTAGATATCTCACCATGCATGAAGTTTAAAATGTTGAGCATGTAAGATAATATGTCTTATTTTTAATTTTAAAATGAAATTATGTATCATAAATTGCTTTGATACTATGAAATAAAATAATTTATCAAATAATATGATACCAACAAAGTATAATATGATATTAGTTAATGTTGAACATTTGAATATTATTTTGTCATCATGATATCAATCACATTTATTATACATGACATACAAAATGAATGTATCAAATAAGAGCTAAGTTTTTAGTAAACAAGCCCAACTTGAGCTCGACTCGATTCATTAATAAACGAGTCGAGCTCCACCTCAACTCATTTATTAACAAGCCGACCTCAACCTGGGGTAAGACTTGACTCGAATCGGCTCATTGCGGCCCTATGATATAATCCTTCCGTATAGTGTAGTTCATAAGTTTATGGGTTTAAACTGAATTTTCAGTTCAGGATTTCCTTAGTGTTTCAGTCAAAGGAATTGGTGTTTTGGAAGCCAAATTAAGCCCAAATTTTATATACTATTTTCTTATTGAAATGTAATGGATTCTAGTTTTGGTTTGGGTCACTTTTCAAGGTCAGAGCTAGGAACGATGAATTTTAGCTCCAACTAGGGTTTGATGTGTTTTATAGAGAATTTGCTATGGAGGCTAGTATTAATGTTTTCAGTGACACTGTAGGAAATAATAGGTCAGTTTCATATTTTAATTCTGGGATCGTTTGGGAAAATCAAAGTTTTGGCACGTAAGGCTAAAACTGGTGTTTCAACAACCAACATGGTTGAGAGATTAGCACGTCATACCGAGTTTATAGTGTCATGATAGTTATATTAATTCTTATAATTGATCCAGGTGAACTAGAATGGCATGATTAGTAGATGTGTATGGACTTTTGTATTTAATGGTGAATTATGGATTATTATATGATGATTGTCTTTCTTATGTGTGTCATTGGTGGATTTAATTGTTGATATATCATTATTTCTATCCAACAAGGTTCTTATATGTGATTAACATTGTTGTTATGTTTGAATTTCTAAGGTGGTTGTATGATGTTGAAAGAGTCGCATGAGGGTTTACCCCGATGAGTTGCAGTTATAGGACTTCTTGGTTACTCATATGTTGAGCCAAATATTTCCAAGTCAAGTACATGCTCCATGAATGAACCAAATAAAGTAACATGAGATATGGGTTAAGCTGCTTTGGTTTCTTAAGTTATCACTTAGTAACTAGGGCTTCCCATGCTATTACTCTATTCCACATGCTTTGATTTGTTAAAGACTTTGTATCTTTTATTTCTCGGTAATACGAGTTATCTAATGGCCAAAAAAAACTAGGGCTCCCCATGCTATTACTCTATTATTACATGTTATGTTACAGTCACACCCCTCACGTGGTGCTGTCTTATGATCTTTTACGAGATATTACCACACCTAGAGCGATGTTGGGTATGACCACACTCAGAGCGGTGTCGACAACAATCACATCTTGAGAGGTGTCATGTATGACCACATCCGACGGGATGTTGGGTATGTGTTCTCAGTAGCGTTATTAGCATGGGGGGAGCTAGACGCCTGCAATTAAATATGATACGATGCATATGCATAAGTCAAGGTGGTTGATTCTTTTGCCTATTGTTAGATAGTGGAGATTTGATCATAGTGGTTTTGGCGTGATTGCTAGATGCATGGTAGGGTATGCTTTGTTATGAACTAAGGTATCAAGTATTGAATATAGTCGAATATAGATGAGTGATTAATCCATTCTATACATGCCTAAGACAATGACATCACATAAGTTGGGTTTCTCATGAAATATACAATGATATCACGAGCAATGCTATAATATAATGTAACACCCTACCTTATATTGTTTGCCTAATCATATTGTTCATACAATTGCAGCGGAATTTAACCTGGGTGTTACATTAATTCCTAAAATTGACCTAACTAAAATTTCAACATGAATTACTCGCGTAATGAGCTAACAGTTCTTGCAACTAGTCCTACAAAATAGATTATCTGAATCCCTTCATTCATAGCCATACATGTATACTCTCAACCATATACATTGGCTTTTCATAGCCATATTCATAATTTCATACCGTGTAATTTTATGCCATACCACACATGTCAAAATCGTCACTACATACAATACCCCACACATACACACATGTCATCAACTTTCCACACATGTGGATATCTTACACTACATCAGAAGCTAGTATGCACATGAAAAGGTTCTCAAAACAGTTTTACAAAAAGGAGTGGATCACTGGCCAAAATTCTGAGTAATTTTCCAAGCACGGAATAGTTGAAGACAATACCTCATCCTGCCTTCAACTCCTAGCTCTACTCGTAGCTATGTACTTTGCCACTGTTGCTGCTGACGATCTGCTTACACATGGCATAAGCAGAGGAAAAGAAAAAAAGAGGGTCAACTCATAGCTGAGTGAGATAATCATTGCATCGTGAGTTCATAACAAAGCATACCCTTACCATATATCTAGCAATCAAGCGAAAACACTAGAGTCAGACCTCAACCATTCAACATCCCAATAGGAAAAAGACTCAACCACCTTGACTTATGCATATGTGTCTTATCATATTTTACTTATAGGCGCCTGACTACTCATATGCTAATAACTCTCCCGGGAAACATACCTCACATTTCGTCGTATGTGGTCATACATACCCCAAACCACTATGGGTTTAGTCAAACCCCGACACCACTCTAGGTGTGGTCATATCTCATGAGAAATCTTCAGTTAGCACCACTTGAGAGGTGTGACTATCATATATATCATTATAGGGTAATAGCATAGGGAGCCCTACTTCCTATGTAATTGACCATGAGACCATAGCACTTTTGTTTGGTAACCTTATACATGACCCATAACTCATCTGGCTTAACATAGGTAAATCAGGAGTCGTATAATTGCACTTCCTCGGGATAAACCCTCGTGCAAGTCATCCTCCTTAAACATCATAATATCATCATGGGATATATATATTTTCTCATTTGTGCATCCAAATACAACAATCATGAAAAATCATACTCAATCACTGAAACAAACCCGACCCTTTTGAAACCAAAACCAGAACTCAAAAACTAAAAACCGGTTACTCTGGAGCAACCTAAACCATAATTTGAAAATCAAACTAACAATAACTAAGAATTTCAAATGAAAGGCCCTAAACACTTGGGCAATCACAATCTAAAACACTTAAAAATAAAATCTCGAGTTTCCCAGTATGCTCATAAGGACATGAATAAAGACAGTTAAGATGGATAGTTCCATCACGTTACCCTGATCCTTCTAACATCTTCAAGCTTATCGCGGCTGCTCTCCTCGGGTAACCTACTTGTGATGGGTACTTCCTCTTCCCCTCTCTACACTTGGTGAGTGAGAAGGGGTTAGCCTCTTCGTTACTTTCTAAGGTCTTTGGCTAAGCAAACCCTTACTAACACATTATTAGAAATTACTTCCTCTTACATGAAAGTCGTTCTCACTTTCATCCTTAATATTTTAGTCCTTAATAGCTTATAGAAGTTCTCTACTTCTATCTTAACTTATATACTTATTACTAGGGTCCACCGCGTTAGGTATCACCGTCCGGCGTCCCTATCCTAGAGGCAATAGTACTGCATTACGTATCCCGTCCAATCCATACCCGGTCAACTACTGTGTTACGTATCGCCGTCAAGTCCATACCCTGTTCTGTGCTTTCGCTCTCTGCTTGTGGAAGTGGAAATGGAAAAGGACTGAGGAGTTGGTCCTTAATATAAGCGGTTAGTGACCGCTTACTTTACTTTTTCTTTTTCAATTTCGTTTTTCCTTTTAATTAATATATATAATACATATTATATTATATATATACATAATTCATTAATACGTATACTTATTCGATCGATCAATATTCCGATTTTCGTCGAAATATTATCAAAGCATCCGAGTTTAATCGTGTAATTTCTAGCGATCAAAATATGAGTTTCACCAGAACATAATGTTACATATAACACAATAGATGATATAGGAATCACATTACTAAAGCATTATATAAGGCATTTGAATATCATAAGCATCAAATTGTGTAAGCATCACATGACTAGGGCATCTATCGATACAAGCATTGCATGACATAGATAACAATGAATAAAAGCTCCTCGTAATATCATAGAAATAAGATGTTATCAGCATCCATAAATTTCACATCCTTAACAATGAAGTTGAACTAAAAATAGATAGAAAAGAAGGATGATATCACCACCAATGCTGAAGGCATCTCCTAAGTTGCACACTTCTATCACTGTTAATTCGGCCTCCCCCAAGCCAAGTGGCTCGTTGCTCGTGTTCGACATAGTGATTTTAGTGTGTGTTTCCAGCCTACTGAATCCCTTAACCCCACCCTCTATTTGTAGTAGAAGAGTTAGGGTTCATTGGGTCTTTTTCTTCCTAAAACGTAACCGAAGGCTTCCTGATACAATTGGGACATGGATTTTTTTGTCTTGGAGATGAAGAAAGAATATTTCAAAGATTCATTTAGGCTTAGGCATGCGGCGACCCAACAGCAATCGGACTAGCCATGTGGTTCTTTGCTCCATTGGTTTGCTTGTCCCTTAAGTAACTCCTCATTCGATTTTCAGCACGACTTGATGGGTTTGTCCCAGTGGATGCTACCCCATCATAAAGCCATCATGAGTTTTTTGATGGGATTATGTTAAAATTCTCCAGTGGAATTCTCTTGGGCTCTTATGACAACTTCATGAAAGTTTTCCCTTGATTTGACCTCGCTTAATGGACGAACCAACTTGAAAATCATAAAACAAAACCCAAAAGACATAATATGATACAAAAACATCCTAGTTCTACTAAAAATGCATTGATCACATTGTAATGATTTCTACCTAAAATATGGCAAATTATACAAAAGATGATTGATAGAAGAGAAGCATGTATCAAATATGAGAGTGATAAACACCTATGCAAGCAACATCATTAACATATGCCAACATTTTGTACATAAGAGCCATTTGTCTATTTGATCTCACACAATGATACATACTCTTAGGAATCATGTCATGATTGTGCACATTAAACCACCTATAAATCTTATAACAACTAAAAACTTTAATTCACCTTATTCAAATGTAAGCACCATCATATCTAGCCCTGTTTTTCAGGGACACGATGGATACGAACCTTTGTATCAATATGTCATATATTAGCACACTACCATCCCTCCAACCTTTCTTAATGCAACCATATTTGATATAATAAATAGCTAATGAACAATTATTTAGCTTCTTACATGGTTTGCATAATCCACATAAAATTTGTATGCATGGTCAACTTAAAGAACTCTAAGTCCTTCAGAGAACATGGAACATCAAGATCTATACCATGGAAACCTATAATATAAAGAAAGGGAAAAGTAATATTGCCATTAATTATGTATATAAATCATACAAAGTGATATACAATGGTAATAAAAACAATCATACTACTATTTAACAAAACAAAAAACTAACATAACGATATTCAACATATTATTACCAAACCACCATGGTATGTTATGGTAAAAATGATTCTATTCACAGACTATTTCCAAACAGTACCACCATGGTTTCCTACGGTAAAAATATTTATGGTCACTACTATTACCAAACCGTACCACCATGGTATGTTATTGTATAATAATTCTATTCACGGACAATAACCAAACCATATGACTATGGTATGTTGTAGTAACATAAGTATAATTACAGTCAATCACAAAAATAACATAATTCTATTCATCTGCATAATATCAATACCTACCACAATAGTATGATATGGTATCAAACTTCATATTACCATTTATCAAAGAACATTAGTAAAACTTACCTCCTTATTCAACTGTGCTAAAAGAAGAACTAGCTCCATTAAATGGAACAATATCATTATTATTAACATCACTCATTGGACACGTAAATTAAATAAGAAGGAAAAATAGAGATGAAGAGCAACTATCCTGTCAATAACAAAATCACAACAACAAAAAATATAAAATGAAAATGCATAAATTAATTTAAGATAGACCCACACATGAAAACACAACATAAACACCAGAGAAACACATAATCAAGTTCAAATAGCTGAACATGGAAAGCCGATAGCAAAATCAGAGAGCACAAAGGAGAGAAGCTAAAGAAACCTACAAATCCAACAACATCCACTTTTGAAAAATAGAGACAAATAGTCATTCCATCCAAAACATTAACAGACTAAATGTGAATGCTGACTGGACCAACCTTTTTAGCTGATGTGACATGTTTTCGTCAAAAATTTTCCAAGTGGAAAAAATCCCTTTTGAATTAATTATAAATTAAACAAGAAGTAAAAAATATAATATCCACACTCCACCTATTCGTTTTCCTCTCTCTCTCCCAGACCCATTCCATCGTCGAGCAACAGAGGTATGATATCCCATAACCTTATTTTCTCAATACAAACCACCACCGGTTGAAGGTGTGATATACCAGATCCCGACTCTTCTCGTTCAACTCCTTCCCTGACCAATTCCGGCGGCGTCCTCAAACTCCCCAATTTCTTTCGACCTGATTTTGTTGGCGAATTCCTAAGCTTTACAGAACTGTGAACTATCCATCAAAATACCGAACTTCGTTCAACTCTCTACCAATGAAAATGACGTTGTTCATTCCCCCTCTGCCGCCAAGGAATGCCTCGCCATAACGAGGTGTTCTTCTCCAACCGACCCTGCCTCCTTGTTGGCAAAAACTTTGACTATGAATACACTAATATCTCATGGGCCCCCTATGGCGATTGCTGGCACAACCTCTATAAGATTTTGCACCTAGAGATCTTCTCCGTATTTTGCCTCAAACTCTTCTCCTCCATCCGTGCCAACGAGATCTAGTTCATGCTTTGCCGCCTCTCTAACTAGGGAGTTATGGCCGTCGATTTGAAATCAGGCCCCCCTCAAGATGACGGTGAAGAACCCAAACCTAGATAAAACAGATTGGATGAAGAAGGTACTTCGGCGGAGGAGAGGCCTTCGACCCTATTTCAGGAGCTCACTTTTCTCCTGGTGCAAATAACAAACCCAGATTGGGACGATTGATGAAGGCATGCCGGCACCATCGCCAAATTATGGGTTGTACGTTTCAAGATTTGGGTTCTTTTTCGTCTATCTGATTATGGATTTGGGGTTGTTCTTCTTCGCCTATTTGGGTTTGGGGTTCTTCTTCTTCTTGCATTTGGCTTCCAACATTTTCTTTGTGAAGATTGAGTGAAAAAAAAAGGGAAAAGGAACATGAATTGGGAGGAAGCGGACGATTCTTCTTCTCCGGAGAACCTGAAGGAAGCCCCCTATGATTTTTTTAATAAATAATATTTTTTTAATTTGACATAATGAACACATGGCAACTTAGAGTGATGTGGAAACTGAGAAGGCACCACCTCAGCTTGGTGTTGATGGCATCTCTAACGCCGTCAATATTTCTAACAGAAATGGCTAAATTTGTCGAGCGTACTTTTAAAATCTAGCTATATTGGTGTATTTTTCAAATATTGGCTATAATTGTCACATTGTGAAAAAGGCTTAATTGCAAGTTTGGTCACTCAAATTGCTACAAAATTTCACGTTTGCCACTCAAATTGATTTATTCCATTTATAGTCACTTAAACTAGTTGAACAGTCCAAGTTCGGCCACTCTCCGTTAACCTCCGTTAGACTCCATTAATGTTGATCGTTAAGTGATGACGTGACTAATAGAAAATCACAGTCAGCATTTTTTAACACTAAAAAAAGATTACCCGACCCGCCACGTCATATTTACCTGCCATGTCAGCCCTACTTGCCCAACCCGCGAACCAACCCAATAATTGACCCAACTTCAAACCCGAGACCCGACCCCCCTGAAAAGTAAATCGAAACAGGAAAGGATAGGGGACTTTTTCTTCCTCCATTGTCATCTCATCCTCCCGCGTCTCTCCTCACCCACCTGTTCGAAAATCAAATCGTCGAAGAAGGAGGGATGGAGGCCGCCGCGCCGCCGCCCTGAATCCCTTCCCTCAATCTCTTCCTCCCGCGGTCGATGGTGATGCTCGACAGGGAAAGGGTAGAAGCTCAGGTTAATTAGCGTCGCGGCTCCGCCTGTGGGCATTGACTCCGACAAGGACTGCGTCGAAAGAAGCCGAGAAAAGCAGGGAAGGACGAGTAGAACGGCTCTGAATTTCATACACACCATGTCAAAACTTCTTCTGTCTCCCCCCTTGGTTGTTGGTTACCGAGAAAGTAAATCCTACATCAAGAAGAAGAAGAGAGAAGAAAAAGGAAGGAGACCCAGAAATAGGAAATGGAAATCGAAGGGAATTGGGTTATTGTGGAAACGAAGGAGAAGTGCGAGAAGCTAACTAGGAGAAGACGGAAGTTAAAAAAATGGAGTGGAACTGGAGCACAGGCAAGAGAAGTGAAGGAAGAGGAAATTGGGAAGGTACGAGTCTTGGAAGAAGAAGAAGAAGTAGGGAAGGGGAGGGAGAAGGCAGACGATGATAAACTTTTGGGGAGGGTTGTGATTTCTACCCGCGGTCGATGGTGATGCTCGACAGGGAAGAGATTGGGGGGAAGAGATTGGCTTTCCTGTTTCGATTTATTTTTCAGGGGGGTTGGGTCTCGGGTTTGGGGTTGGGTCAATTATTGGGTTGGTTCGCGGGTTGGGCAAGTAGGACTGACATGGCGGGTAAATATGACGTGGCGGGTCGGGTCTATCTTCTTTTAGTGTTAAAAAATGATGTCTGTGATTTTCTGTTAACCACGTCATCACTTAACGGTCGTCATTAACAGAGTCTAACAGTGGTTAACGGAGAGTGACCGAACTTGGACGGTTTAACTAATTTAAGTGACTATAAATGGAATAAATCAATTTGAGTGGCAAACGTGAAATTTTGTAGCAATTCGAGTGACCAAACTTGCAATTAAGCCTTGTGAAAAATTATGGCTATGCATGTGCGTATTGTCAAATAAATTTAATAAAAGACAAAAATACCTTTTCCCATTCAATTAATCTTGTTCAATTCTCTCCAAAACTCATCGACTTCCATAGTATAGCTTTTTATTGGCATCATCATATATCTTTTTTTTACAGACATCATCATATATCTTATATATACAACAAAACTCGGTATCCACGGATCTTCTTTTGGTTTCTAACAGTCTGATGGTGACCATATCATAATTTAGTAGTGTTGGGCTTCTATTCATTCCCTTTTTACATCTATGAAATTTTGAAGTGAAAAGGATCGTAGTCGCTTTGCTGATTTAACACTAAAACTTGAGAGGGGGGAATGCATCCAAGCAACTTGCGTTACACAAGTAAACACACTACCAGGATTGAAATATAGAGGAGGAGGAGACGTCGAGAGCGAGCGAGGTCAGCTCTAACAAACTCAAGAAGAAGCAACGGAACTCTGTGAGACTTGTACATAAATTTTGTTTTCTTGGCTAATAGACGACTACTTAATTAATTAATTCTTTACACTGCTTGCAATGATTAATTAAGAGCATTAGATCAGTCCCCCGCGGGCCATCTTTCATCTACCGTGCAAGAGGCCACGGGCAGAGCTGCGTTTGTGTCAGTTGGATCGGCTGGAGTTGCGGCTGGACATTATGGTGAGGATGAACAGGAGGACAAGAGATATGTAAGAGAGAGCAAGGGAAGTGGTTCCTCTGTTGCAGAATCGATGGAAGTGGTCGCAAATCGGCATCCAGCCGGAGTGGTTCTCCCCGTACTTCCCTATCACACCAATCGCCATCGCCGCCGAGCATCCCGCCACCACCAGTCCCATCACCATCTGCGCTTACTCAATCTTACAATGATTCTGATCATTAAAATAGATTCAAGTAGGGGAAACGTTGGAGCCCCGTCGCCGGCGCACGACGATGAAGTGCAACAGCGATACCATCGAGAAAGTCGCGGCCACGCTGTTCGCCACCACGAAGAATCTGCCAGGATCCCAACAACAAATATATTAGTGGCAGGCAGTGGAACAAATAAAAGCTTAAAACAGAGGATTGGCGCATCATTAATTAATAGTTCGGTGTTAGTTTAAGTTGTTGTGGTTTCTAATTTTAAAGTAATAATTTGTTAATTGGAGGACTACATATCGCAAGGCGGAGGAGTAGGAATAGCGACCCACGAAGAAGAAGCCTGGAAGGACCTCGGTGGTTTGTTTGTTGGTGAATGTGGAGACGGCGGCAGGCCAATGCGAAGGCGAAGGACATAGTTCTGAGGAGGAATTGCGTTAGGAAGCGAACTGGCCTCTGGGTTTGCGCGGCTGCTGCCGGCTGCTGCTGGTGATAGTTCTGTGCGTACTTCTGATCGTCACTCGTCGCGCCGCCATGGGAGGGAGACAGAGCCGAGGCTAGCTATTAGCCAGTGGCAAAGAAAAACAGTGTAAACGAAGGGAAAGGAGGAATAGGGGAGGAGATTAATGCGTGGCAATTACGGTACCACTGCTTCTTTGTTATTTATAGAAGAGCAAATGCCCTACGAAATCCCATTATTATGACTATTTTATTAATTATTGTTGTACCTTTGTCAGTTTGTTTCTCCTTTTCATTGATGTCCATGGATTTCTTCATCATTTATGTTGCATGCCCTTAATAGTAGATTTCATGAACGAATTAGTAAGGAATAGGTTTCTCGAGGACGATAAAGCATTGCTGATTTAATTTAATGTACAACTTGAGATTTTTTTCCAGAAATAAAATTGTTTTTTAACATGCCCCTCAACTATGATTTTTTATTAAACATGCCATTTTACTATTTTTTACATCAAACATGCCCATGTACTTTATAAAAATTATCAAAGATGCACTTTTATAAAATTTTCATCCAAAAATCGTTAACCAACGCAAACTTTGGTTTGGGCGACACAAATGTCTAAAATATCCCTAATAATTTCACTTTAGAATTTTTTTGGTTCTTTTGTATAGCCAAATAATTCAAATAATTTCACATTGAAGAGAACTAGAGAAATAAAACGAGGGAAAAAACTGATATTTTCCCTCCTATTTGCCTATGTCGGGTTGTCTAAATCTTGGTTCAACCATGATTGACAATTTTTTTCAATGAAAATTTTAGCAGACGGGCATGTTTGATAATTTTGTCAAAGTACAGGGGCATGTTGGATGTAAAAAATAGTAGAAAGGCATGTTTGATAAAATGTCATAGTAGAGGGGCATATTATACCTATAACCAAAAAAACTTTTAAAAATAACACCCAGCCCCAAAAAATTCCAAAAATAGCACCCTTTCACGAAAACTGCCACCTAAGGGCGCAGTTCTGACGAAAACCGCACGGGTAGGGGCGGTTTTGTTGACCGCATGGGGCAACCGCACCCCCAACCCGATGGTTTGTAATATATATATTTTTCCGCATACATGTCATAACTAGTCTTGGCACAATTGGTTTCGCTATTTATTGTGTGCAAGAAGTCCTAGATTCGAACTCCCATCATCACATATTAAATCTTTTTATTTTGTAGAGATTAAAAAAGCAACAAGTTGTGGGGGTGGTGGTTCAAACCCAAATAATAAATAGTTAGCTAAATTTAGCACAACATCTAGACCACCAAACTACTACTCTTCTCTTGAAACAATAATATATTGACAAAGTTTTACTCCTTGAACGCTAAAAATCCTCAATAACTTTGAACAACCATAATTTTGTGCTCCAAAATCAGAACTTCATGAAAAAAAATTCATTTCGCATAACTTTTTAATGACTAAATTTTTTACAATGAATGAATTTTCAAAACAGGATTTATTTTTAGATATACAGGGTTTTGGGAATAACTTACCTTCCCTTTTCACAAATCCACGTACATCCCGAAATTATGTTTATGATAAAAGTTGTAGTCTTAAAAAGTTATGAGAAATGAAAAAAATTCATGACGTTCGGATTATGTAGCACAAAGTTATGGTTGTCCAAAGTTTGACGAAATCGGAATAAAGCTCGTCCGGGGTAGCAAACGACATCTTTTCAGGACGAAGGCGGGACCAAACCGCCTACAGCTATTTGCGGCTAGCAAGATTCGAAAAGTTATGCGAAATATAAAAAAAAATTCGCTACAATCGGATACCCGAACAAAAAGATACGTTCGTTTGAAGTTTCAACCAAAGTTAGGATTTTTCAAAAAAAAATTATATGGACCAAACCGCAAAGTGGGGTAGCAATTTTGGGCCAAATCGGTCCGACCGCAGGCGGTCATGAAAACCGCGCCCCCACCCTACGGTTTTCGTGTAAACAGTTGGGTTGGGTGGCAGTTTTTGGGAAAGAGTGTTATTTTTGGAATTTTTCGGGGTTAGGTGCTATTTTTGGAATTTTTTTAAAACAGTGTTGTTTCTAGAAAAAAAATCCCTTAAAGTTGTATCATAACGTTAATGTATAAGTTCAGGTTGTACCATAAAGCAATTTGTACTCTTATGTTATGGTACAACTTCAAGTTGTATCCATTCTCTTTTGTACAAAAAAAAAACACGGTACAACTTGAACTTGTACCTTATGTGATGGTAAAATCTGAAGTTTCAAGTTCAAGTTATACCATAAAAGAATTGTACAAAAGAGTATTGGTACAATATGAAGTTGTACCGTAACTTTAAAGGTACATCTTCAACTTGTACCATAAATAGGCAAAAACCTATACCACCAATGCTATATATCATTGTAAAATTCCTCTAGGTTTCTCACCACTGCCAACAAGCGCCTCATTCCCATCGCCCCCACTAACTGCTCACTAGGGGTGGACAATAGCTAGGTGGGTTAGGTGAATTTCGATCTTAAATTGATCGACCCGTTTACTAACGAGTTACAGTTGTGATCTAGTATGCATCCATATTCTTCTGCATACTAGGTTAGATGGATAATGTGTGAATGCAGTTTGGTTGTGTGTTAACCCTAAAAAATAATTCTCCCACTAGCCATTAGGCAAATTGACTAATATTTATAATATTTCTTTGCAAAATATGAAGACACTAACAACTTAGACACTGATCACTTTGTATCCTGTAGAGGTCTAACATTCGTGACATGTAAAGTTTTTTATTACTCATACTAACTTTTCAGTCGATCACTTTAAATAAAGTACTCGTTAATAACAAAAATAAAGTCACTAACCAAATATTCCTAGAGACCGAGACTCTATACCTGTGTGGATTCCATTGCTTTGCTAGAGCTATCAAATTGTTCGTTACTCTATCAACCAATTTTGCAGAGAAAATTGACACTCTTGATGGTTTTGGTACAATTAACAGTTTATAATTTATATTCCAAAACCAAATGGACATGACACAATATAGTAACCAATAGTAGTAGTTAAAAAATAAAATTTATCTTTTGCCTTTTGCATTCAATGGTTAATATGAGGTGCGGTTAGGAAATATGATTACTATTCAGTATTATAAACAAGAAACAACTAGTTGTCATGTAAAAGTGGAATGATGGTCATTTGGGTGACCACAATCCACCCATTCCAATAAGTGAGGGTAGAAAAAATTTATCATCGATCCATCCATATCAATCACCCACCAATTATAATTTGGACTACTTGTAAGTCGATCGTTGTCCAACCACAAATTAACCACTTACATGACTACCTCTGCCCTTTTGTTAGTGCGCATGATTACATATCCGCCCAACTTAAAAAAATAGCTCGAGAGAGCATAGCAAACACACAACATAATTATATATTTACTCTTACTTTCCACCAATCTAATTCACTTTTTTTATTGGAAAATGGGCTCCATTGGCAGATTGGGAATGATCGGACAGCGCCCATGTTGCACTCTAGTTGGATTCCCCGATTGCATCCCATTTTCCCACTTTACAATCCCCAGGTTCTTCCAGAGGAGGGCGGCCTTACGGTGGCAACCTTGATTTGCCCTGGTGAGGGACGGTGGTTTTCCACTAAATTAGCTCAGTGGTTCCACCCAGACACTTGTTGTGGTATTCAGGATATCCCTTTACCTCGTCAGGATATAAAGGATAAGTTGATCTGGCATGATACATGTGATGGATTTTTTACAGTGAAATTGGTGTATCATCTGGCTGTGTCGTTTGATAGACAACATGGTAGGTGGCATCCCAGTTGGAAGGATAGGCACAGCTGGATACACCTATGGGACTCCCCGATTCCCCCCAGACTGAAAATCTTCTTATGGTAAAGCTTAAATCAGATTCTCCCGACCACTGAAGCCTTCATTGACAAAGACGTCCTGGTACATCCAAAGTGTCCGGTTTGTTGGGCTGAATCTCAAACGAAGGAGCATATCTTTTTAGAGAGCTCTGTGGCTAGAGCTTTGTGGGATCATTCTGGCTGTCGCAACCGTCCCTCCGGGGGGTCCGTATGTCGTCGCGTCGGCTTTTTTGGGAGTCGCCATCGATCTTACTTGGAGTGGATTGAACACTCTTCGGTCGGCTCTAACCTTAGGTCAGAACCGGGGCTTGGTCTGCGAATTAAAAATATAGAGATCTAGGTTCGGGAGTACAGTTACGCGTGGGGAAGTTAAGCAACACCCCCACAACGCCCTGAATCGGTACTACTTAAGTCGATAAGTTTCATACGAATTGGGTGTATTTTTAGTAATATTTTTAAAATTTTAGGGTCCCACTGGACCGTTTAATGATTTTATCGTATTAGTTTATTATTAGGTATTTTAGGTATTTTTAGGGCTTTACCAGACCACTAAAGAAATTAAATCGTATTAATTGTAATTTAATTATACGCCCGCTGACGTAAAAATGAAAAATGGAATTAATTGGTTAGTTGGACTCGAACCTTATCGGTTGCCTACGTACCCGTTAGACGGGATCAAAGTCCACGTAGTTCGTTCGGACTTTGATAATTTTAAATAAAATCATTACCACGTTCCGCTGATCGTGGTTTCGTTATCAAAATTTATTGTTAATAAACTTTAAGTTGATATTATGAAATTATGAAAAGATAAGGCTTTCAGTTATTAAGATGAGATTTGATGTATTAGAAAAGAAACGAGATAAACTTAATCCGCAATTCTACCTTTCGTTTTAAGGATATTAGATTATAAATTGAAATGGAAAGATTTATTTTTATGAATAGCTTTCAGCTCAACTGGCCAAAACGCCAGTATCATCTTGCGCTCAACCCAACGGACGCGGGTTCGAAACCCACTCTAAAAGAATTTTGGGATTTTTCGTTTTAATGCACAAAGGGGGAAGGGTATTTTTGTAATTACCCAAAAACGCGGTGGCATGGCTGCGAAATACGCTGAAAACCCTAGGGGAAGGCTTTCAGTTATTAAGATGAGATTTGATGTATTAGAAAAGAAACGAGATAAACTTAATCCGCAATTCTACCTTTCGTTTTAAGGATATTGGATTATAAATTGAAATGGAAAGATTTATTTTTATGAATAGCTTTCAGCTCAACTGGCCAAAACGCCAGTATCACCTTGCGCTCAACCCAAGGGACGCGGGTTCGAAACCCACTCTAAAAGAATTTTGGGATTTTTCGTTTTAATGCAGAAAGGGGGAAGGGTATTTTTGTAATTACCCAAAAACGCGGTGGCATGGCTGCGAAATACGCTGAAAACCCTAGGGGCATTTTGGTCTTTCGGAAAGATATATAAACCTAAAACAAAAAAAAAGTACAACCTAGCCCTAGCAGACCAAATCGGCCGCCGCTCACCTCTCTCTCTCTCTCTCTCTCGTTCTTCTCTCAACTCTCTCTAACTTTCGCTTCTCTTCTTCACTCACAGAGAAAAGCGAAACCCTAGCCACCATCTAACACCGCCGCCCTCTCCTTCTTCCTTCTCTCGTTCTCTCTCTGTATTTCTGGTACCGACAAAGAAAACGAGGAAAGGGATCCCAGGCGACGACAAAGGCGATTTCTAAGTTTGCATGTCGATTTGGGGGTTATTTGCCGGTTTCATTTTCGTTTTATGATTCTGTTCTTGGATTATGATTGGGATTCTGATTATTTTTCTTGATTTTTTCGTTTTATGCGAGGGGGAAAGGAAGGTCGACAGCAATTAGGCTTCATATTGACAAAAAAAAGAAACGATTTAGGTAAGATTCTTGCCTTGCATGTAGGTTTTCTTTTGGTTTTTTTTTTATTTTATTTCAAAAATCGAATTCTGATTATGTTTTTTTTCATTGTATTTTGATTTTTTTTTTGGATTCGACGAGGGGAGAATAAGGGCAACTTTGGCGGCTAGGGTCTCCGTCGGCAAGCCTTTGCCGGCGGTGGTGTCACAACGGCTACAGGTGATGTTTTGGTTTCTGTGATTTTTACTTTTGATTTATTATTCCTTTAACCGATTCTGACCTCTATTATTTTTTCACACAGGTTTTGAA